AGCCAGCGTAATTGATATTAAAACGGCGGAGTCGATAAAACCCCATGTGTGACTGTGTGTGTAGTGACCGATCATTAGTGTACGTGAGTTCCCCGAACGCTTTATGTAATTAAAGATAAACTATGGCTAAGATTCTTGAAAATCAGTAACGTACATACCCGCAGTCACACGTCACTAAATGTTGCGATCAAAAAAGTTCCAACAAGGAATTCAAATATGTTTTAAAAAATTAAAATCGGACTTTTGGTACTGGGTGACCAAATTACCTTAATTACAAAACAATATAATGGAGATTAAATATAAGTCAAATGTCAAATGTTAGTCCTATAGTAATTACTAATTAGTAATCCTGTAAGCCCGCCATTATTTAAATAATTTTTACTGTTGATTTCTATACTCTGTTCCACGAGAGAACATGTCGGTTCTGCGCATTCCCTGCTGTCGAAACTGGTTCCCTTATGACAGGATGTGGCGTGGAAACCAGTTTTGGTCGGTGCGCGGCATGATCTCTCGTGGAACAGAGTATAACACATATTAGCATATTATTACCAATTAATAATTATTATAAGATAGGTACCAATAACCTTTTTACTGTGACAATAACTATTTATATTTTTAATGCTTGCATATTCTGTATTGTAAGATAATAATAACAAGTAGTCTTAGATCCTTGATTTAATAAGATCGAAATAAATTATGACCATTTCGGAAATCAAAATTACACCAACTTGTATGAAAACAGTTTATTTATAAATTACCTACCTATATAATTATTAACTATAAAAACAAATGTTGTTAAAATGTATTAACAAATTTCCATAGACCTAATATATCTATAATATATCTTATAAGATCTAATTCGTCTTTTGTTATCACAATTCACAGCACTTCAACATTTTAGTGAATATACATGGTTTAGTTTGTAATAAATTATAAAAATTATCTGAATTAAAAACAATAATGTATTACCTATTTAATGTAATATTGTAATAAGGTAATATTATATAAAAGATAATTGTCCATATAGCTGGTACTCAAGCATTATATGTATACGATGTTAAGACAAGTGTAATCTATAAATAATTAATAAAAAGGAATATAAATAAGTGGTAGGTAGATAATATTATCAAATATTATCTGGGTAGGGTGGAATACATATAATATTTAATCGAATATTGAAAAACGCTTCCGAGGTCTGTCCTGCATCATACACGAAATTAGTCTATTATGGGTTTAATATTAAAATCCTTGTTCTATTATAATATTTAAACCTTCAATGTATTTCACATTTTTACTCGTTAAAATTAGTACAGCATTTTTAATAATGTGATCAATAGGTTTAGCTAGGCGTATGGGGCTGTAGTGAAAATTGTATTCGCGCATATAATACGAAAAGGATGAACCACAAAATAAACATCACATAATAAAAACTAATTACGTTTTAATATTTTACTCATTGTCCACAAAGGTTAATATATTACATAATGTTTTATTCTTTATCGAACTATATGATCAATGCCGCCATCAGTTTTTCAGGTCATGCGTTGAACAAAAACAAAGAATAAGACACAAATAATATGACTGACACCTACCGAAAAGTAGTACCTCAATATACCGGGGTTGCTGGGGGGAGGGGGTGTAAGAAACCCCCAGGCCAATGTTAAGTCATAACCGTGGTCATAACTAGGGCTAGTATAACTATGCGCTAGCATATATTTTCCCTTGGTCCAGAGGTGGTCAACCTTTTACCATTTTGGGCCACATAAAAAAAAAAATTATTATACAATAAGTAAATTTGATGTGGTTTGATTGACGGGAGGGAGAAGTCACCCAATGGTGGCACCCCGTGAGACAAATAATTTAAAATTTTAAAATTGTATCTTTCGATCCCCGCCTCCATGGCTACTAATTTAATGCAGTCGACAATTATTATCCTTTACTTACTTTACTGTAGATCCCTCCGCTTCTTTTCAGGATTTTCCGCTCAAATAGTTCGTGACGGCACCGGGCACATATATAATACGAGTAGGTACCTATACACTCGTGGGTACATTTTGCTGACCTCGACGTGATTACGTGACATAAAAATATTATATTTTCGTAATATTTGTATAATAGTTGAACCTAGAAATAATACTAATGTCTAATTAGTAGGGAATATTATAATCAGTTATTATTTCTATTAGTAATATTTGAATTTTGAATTCTTATTTTGCGACTTGGTTTTGTGTTGTTATTATGACGTAATAATTAATAAATAATAATTATAATCGTCAATTTATACTTTACTGTGTGTGAATTTTAATTCGTAGAGTTTTATATTTTAATTATAATTGATTATTATTATTATTATTTATTATCAGTGCATAACATATTAACATATTATACCTATGTGTTAATTAATTTCTGTAGGTACCTTGTAGATACCTCATTATAATTTAAAGTTTAGTTGTCATAATTTCAGTTTTTTTTTATGCCTAAATTAATTTGTATATGCACTTACCTAATTACAATTCGAAGTTTTGTTTCAAAAATTTCGGTTTTTTTTTAACATGCGCCAATTTCAATTTTTCTTTACTTGTGAAGCATCCCACGCCCCCTGTAGTTTAAAATATTTTACATCTTACAAGATTTTTACACCACATTTAGCGCATTCAATTTATACATTTTAATTTTATTATTACTCAGGCTTGTCTGGAGAGAGAGAATTAGGTTAGGGATATCAATGACAAAATAAATGACTATAATATAGGAAACGATAAGGAAATAGTATAGTAGCTAAAAAAACAAAATAATCGCTAATGGATACCATTTAATATTTATTATTTTTATTATCCACGAATTAAGATAATATTATACTAAGAGGATGTCAGCGTCAGCACTCAACATCTAGTGCACTATATTTTGTTTTCTCTCTCTGAAATCTAAATATTGTATAATATCATTTTAATATGCATTTTTTTAGTACTAATATCACAAAATAAATACAAATAGTAAAATACACTATAATATTATTAACAGATTATCTTTCACCTTCGACAGAAGTATTGGAGAGTGGCGACTTAAAGATCTTCCTTGTTGTCAATATGTTAATTAATGTAAATTCGAATTAACAGACTAGTATTGGACATTTGGACCTACCTATTGCCTATTGGTAAAATTAAAAGTAATACCTATAATATTAATTTGTTTCACTAATCAACAACTCCAGTCTATTATTTAAGCCATTTGTGGTAGGTACCTCGGTATCGGCTAATATCTAAAATTAGAACAAACAAGTACCTTATACTTGCACACTCAGTGGCGTGACGAACTGAAAATTCTTCAGAGGCATGCTACAAATGTCTCAAGTATTAATGCATAATAATGCATTAAGAAACATCTCGGAGGTAATTGCCTCTGAAATTACTGTTCGCCACGCCAATGCCTACACTGTAGAGCAGTGGTTCCCAACCTTTTTCATTCTACACCCCCCCTATAAATTTACTAAAATGTCATTCCCCTAAAAAAAAAGAACTATTTACTTTTATTATTTTCATAATTTTAAAAATGTATTATAAATCAACTTACAAAGAGTAATAATTATTTATATTAAGTAAATAGCTAATAAGAAAAAATGATTTTATATAAAAACAAAAATATTAGATTTCAATTTTACACATTGTAAAATAACATACCTAATTATCGTAATTCCATCATCACTCTATAACCCCCCCCCCCTCCCCGGTTGGGAACCACTGCTGCAGAGTCTGCAGCATACAGCAGCCGTATGTGCTAAATATGTGCTATAGAACTTATATCTATTTAGTATGGGAATTTTATTGTCCACGAATCACGATCACGAATGAGGGCCGGAGTTAAATTAAAATATAGGGTATAAGGTCCGACGCACATCTCCAATGTGCCAATTATCTGTGGGCTATGACGTCTTTAATTTCTCGTAAAATCGATATTATGAAACCTTTCAGCAACACTAACAGATATTTTTATTTAGTTTACCAACCACGATATTATTACCTACTGGCTACAAAATAATATCGTTTTCTTTTCGCACCAATTAGAAATTGTCTACAAATCTACACATTTGCGTGGATAATTAATTATTATAGCCGCTCAAATGTGTGTAGGTTAACAATATTATTAGTCATTCTATAGTTGGTCCAAGAAGACTACGACGTGTTTAGGTATCATACCATAATATTGAGTAACATACAATTTATTGCAATGAACTTACGGCGACTACACGTTCACACTATCACCGAACAAATGTTTCGGGACGGCCCATGGACCGGGCGGCTAGCATTAAACTTCGATCGTATGGATTCTAGAATATTCTATAGACTTCGTGGTAGGTATTATGGTAAAAATATACTTCAAAATACCTTAATGCCAAAGACGTCCAGACGGATGTCCATTGCCCGTGTTGATATAACAATATTATCCTCCTTGAATTTTCCCTATTATCATATTTTATTTCACACACGATGATTGTTGCTAGTGTTTTTATTTTTTAAGTAACTGTTATCTTATTTCGTTAAAAATGTATTTTTACTGAATACTTACGCAAAAAGTGATTACTGAGCAGTAAGCACTGCGTTAGAATAAATCGCTTTCAAGTATTATTTTCAAGTGTTTCAACGCAGTTGGGTTTTTTTTGAAATTATTGTCGGTGAGTACAATATAATTATTTTCTTTGATCCATACTTGAAATGTCTGTCTTGGAATATTAGTGTCACTTTTATTTTAATTAATTAATGATATTTTAAATATAACATCGTCCAACCTAACACTCAACTACCCTAGAGTAATGATAAAACGTTTCAAATTATGGTATGGACTATGGAATTTATTTTTAGATAATTATTAGTTATTATTCACGTGATATGCGTTTGTGATGTGTGGTTAGTTAAAATATAGTTGTGATTCCTTTATAATCACTGTCTTAGAACTTTGAAGCAATTCATAATACAACAGAAAACAAAGGATTTAGACGCTTGACCATGTATTGTTGGGGCAATACTATCAACGGGGAACTCGGTCTGGGTGGTATTGAGGAAAACTATATCCTCAGTCCAGAAGAGATAGTCAATTTTGAAAGCATAAATAACATTAAATCAGGTAATTATCTATCATGTATGAGACATCAGCAACAATCCAAATATTTCATTCACATATTCACTTTTAGTGGCTTGTGGAAATAATCATACACTTGCCGTAACTGAAGATGGACAATTATATGCTTGTGGTAGTAACGATTTTGGTCAACTGGGACATGATGGATGTCGGACAAAACTACGTATGTACATTTATGAAATATGTACTTTAATTCCAACAAGCCATCAATGTGCATATTAAATTTGTAAATTACTTGATTTTACAGAAAAAATTCCTGGGGTTGAATCGTTAGTGATGACAAGTGTTGCATGCGGAGAAGCTCATTCAATGGCACTTAATGAATGGGGACAGTTATACACTTGGGGTTCTGACGCCTGTGGACAATTAGGTGAGTTTAAAATATTTAAATGTTTTCAAACTAGCCGGGAGTAAAAATGGGTTGATTTTGTTTTATAATGAAATGTAGGACTTGAAACTGATGAAGGGATTCAATATAAACCAAAAATCGTCAAAACATTAGCCAGTATGCTATTAGTTCAAATTAGTTGTGGATATAAACATTGTATGGCTCTAACAAACCGTGAGTTGATTTATAATATCTAGTAAAAACATTTTATAAAAATTAGTACCTTTCTATTTCAATCAATAATTATTTAATATTTTATTAAAACATAATAAATTGTATTATTTATTTTTATGCCAATAAACATTTTTTATATTAAAGACACTTATTTTATTTATATTAAATCTTATTCCTACAATTAGATGGAGAGTTGTACACTTGGGGCTCAAATGAATTTGGACAGTTAGGTCTTGGACTTGGCCCTGGTAATGTGTCAAAACCAACATTGGTTACTTCACTGGTTGGCTTACCTATTTCATTTATTGCCTGTGGTGGATATCATAGTTTTGTTGTATCAAAATCAGGTAAGATTATTGCATGAAACAAATGTTTTTATTTTTTTATCTTCTATACTGTTTCTAACACTTATAAATATTATTACTCAATTAAAAAAAATTGTGTATCATTTAATTAGCACAATTTTTCACAATATAGTATTCATATATAAATACTATTCAAATTTAAAATAAATTATTAGTAATCAAGTTAAATTGTATAACATTTAAGACAAAAAAAAATCTGTAGGTATAAATAAAAATATATTTTTTTATACCAACTTGTAATGAAATGAAATTAGGTAAAATATATAATGGAAGTTGATTTATTTTTGTTCTTAAGAAATAATATCAATATAACATCAACAAGATGATACTAATAATAATTTTAAAAGTTAGAAGTAAAATTAAATTACTAAAACTATAAAAAAGTTTTACTTAAAATAGGTTAAAAAATAAAAATGTCTGTACCTTAATATTTATTTAGTATTTACAATTATTATGATTATGGTTTACTAAAAATATATTTTTTGAAAAAATTATAGGGAAAAAATGTTTGCATTATATTAGGGTAAAATCCCCCAACCCCCAAATCATTGATTAATAAATTATTTTTATTAATTATTTATTTAAAATAGGTGCTGTGTTTGGTTGGGGAAAAAATGATTTTGGACAACTAGGGATAAACAGTCAAACTAGCTTATCATCACCTACACAACTGAAAACAATACGAACTGTCAAAGTAAAATATATTGCTGGGGGAGAGGATTTCTCAGTATTCTTGACATATGTAATTATACATTGAATATTTAATATAATATAATATTTTGGTTGATTGATCTATTGCTTAATATTTTTTAGGATGGTGGAGTTTTTACATGTGGTGCTGGTATGTATGGTCAATTAGGACATGGTTCATTTTCAAACGAAATTGTTCCAAGAAAAGTGCTAGAACTCATGGGAAGTACTGTGACTCAAGTTACATGTGGACGGTAATTATTTTAATTCAATAAATAAGGTACTGTTTATAAAATTAATTTATATTTTCTAAAATTTTATAGGAGACATACTTTGACTTTAGTACCTTCAAAGGGTCGAGTCTATTCATTTGGACTTGGTAGTGTTGGCCAGTTGGGTACAAAATCATCTATTAACTCAAATACACCACAATTAGTGTTAGGACCTTGGCTATCTCCGTCTGGAACATCTATGATAGAAACAAATAAGCAATATGTTGTTAAAAGTATTTATGCGGGAGGTGATCAATGTTTTGTTAGAGTTACTCATAAATCGGTATGTGTTTTTTAAATTAATTAGCTTACTATTGTGTGTTGGTTATTGAAAATAATAATGCATAAAATTGAGTGCCTTTTAGCTCGATATATATCCAGATGATTATCGAATTATTCAAGAAAGTTCTCAAATTTGGACTGTAAAGCTTTCAGATGTGATAAATTTATCAACCATCCTACCAGAAAATCCTGTTGACCAAGAAAGAATGTCGTAAGTTTAAAAACATTGGTTCATCTGTGTATATATGTATATGTATATGTTATACATCAGTATGTTCCATTCAGGTTTGTAGAAATAGTGATGAGCAGTTTGTCATGTTTAAATGGCTCATTTTTAATGTTGAATGATATTCATTACACTTGTACAGAAAATAATCATGGTATAGATTTTGATCTCGCTGCACTATGTTTTGACGCCATAAGTCATGTACGCAATACTTCATTGAGTGATTTAGTGAGTATTCAATTCATGTTAACATTAAATACGTTATAATCTCTAATATCTTATTATTTTTAGATATTAACATCATTAGCCAGTGCAGTTGATTCTTTATCATTGCCTTCTCCTGATGTAGAGTCATTGAGGTTTTATTTAACCTTACCTATGTACCACGAGTTTAAGAATATTACAAATGCTACCATACTTCAAGTGCCTTATGCTGAAGCATTACTTAATCTGAGTAGCATAGATTCAAATACTATTGGTAAGAATACACTTAAAAGACCTTGATATTCAACTGGTATTATAATTTCGAAGCTACATGAATGGTTATCATTAGGGCTGGGAATGCACTGAGTTGTTTTCCAAAGCTAGATAAGTTATTATCTTTTATAACATAAACGTTTCATGTATTATTGAATTAGATTAAGAATCTGCATCATTATGCAGTTCAACAATTTTCAATTTTAATGTAATTTTTTTCACTTTTAAAAGTATTTTAAGGTTATTAGGGCATATAAAACTAAAATCCGGATTTCTTAAAATTTTACTTTAGGATCTTTGTTTAAAAAAATAACTTTGTAACATGCTAACGACTAACAAGGATTTTACCTGATAAAATATAATTAATCATCATTTTTCAATAAAATCATCTCTATGACTAAAAGTTGAGATTATTATTCTTGCCAGAAAATTAAATTAAATAAAATTATTTTTCAGATTAAAAACCCGCTTGGAGCGTATAAGATTAGAAACTTTTCATTAATTTTTTCTTAAAAACATTTTTGGTTCAAACCCTGTTTTAAATAAAACTTAAGTGAATTTTATAGGTACATTATTTTAAGTTTTTAGAATACAAGAGCATTTCTTTTTATTTAGAGCATATTTAACTTTTGGGGCATTACATTCCCATAAAATTAAATAAATGCAAAGATTATTATATTTTTAATAGAAACCACTAGATTGTGTATCTTACCATTTTCGGTTATTATGAAAAACAATAATAAGAATATCAATAATTATTAATTATTCCAAATTCCAGATTAATGTTCTGTTAAAACACTTAAAATATGATGTTTATAATAGTGTATACTGTATATGTATTAAAATCGATGAAATATTACAAAAAATTTAATCAATTTTTAAATATCTTAATAATTATTAGTATTGTGATTAACTTCTGTATTTAATTAAACATGCAATACAATATAGATACATCAATATCAGAAAAATAAATATATTTCAAATTCTTTTAAACTAAATAACATTAATACATTGAATTTGTATTATTATTAATTTATTAATTTCACAACATACACTTGGCACAGTCTGTGGCAGTGGTTAACAGATAATTAAAACCGGTAATTACACCAGTAAAGTTATCTATTATTATTTATAATTGTGTATTTGGTAACGATTGTCATCTTTAATATTGACTGTTATATAAATACAGGGTGTAACAGGAAGACCTTACAAATTAACCCTAGAGCACACGCTTCACGGTCAAAAAGACTGGGCTTTTAGAATTTTGTTCATTGTTTCAAAAATACGAAAACCTAAGTTCCTTCTAAGTAGGTGATAAACTAAAATTAGATACAACTCCCAACTGTGTACAATCTGATGTCAGTAATATAGAAGTGTTCAAAGTTCATTACTAGACATTACGTATTAATATACAGTCAAAAAGACCGTGTGCGTGATCGTAAAAAATCAACTATGGGTTATTTTTAAACTGTGTTTCTAATAATTGCTGCTCGATAAACAAAATTGATAGTTGTTATATTTTCATTGTGACTGGTTAGTTGACTATGATTTGCGCCATACTGTGTGTGACTAAAAAGATTGTGTGCTTGTTTTAAATGTGTGTGATCTAAGTTAAATAACTTGTTTCAAACAATAATTTTAATTTACATTTTTTTTATACATATAATTTATTGACCCTTAAGCACGTATAATATAACATTTTAATTTTTTGATACTAAAAATGTTTTATTTTTTATTTCAGTAAAATTTTTTTTTGGAAAATTCAAAATGGCCAATTTGTAAATGTGGTTCTTACAAAAATTTGATTGTAAAAGCATTTATTTAATTCTTGTAGAAGATGTAGTTCATTTTTAAAAATTTTTTGAAATCTCATTATTTTGTTTAAGTAGTTGTAAAAAATCATTTAAAATTCAAAAAGTATAAAAAAATTTAAGAGATATTTTGAATATTTACTTGGTAAAATCTAAATATTTAAAAAGTTATTAATTTTCAAATGCATGAATCTTAATTAAAAAAAAAATATAAAAACTAAAATATTATGTGACCTAAATAAATGTTTTTACAATTTAAGTTCTTCTAAAAACCAGATTTAGAAATTGGGTATTTTTAATTTTTCAAATCCAATCAATTTAGAATTTTTTTTTTTTCAAGATTAAAAAACAAAAAGAAACGTTTTATTATACTTGTAGCCCAAAAGTCAATAAATTATATATTTATATATAAAACAAAATTTAATAATAATATGGTTATGGTTGGCTTTATACATCAGTATGTTAATAAATTTTGGACCTTGGGTCAAGAAGGGCCAATCTCATTTTTTGGCAAAAATTAGTTATATGGCCAATCTTATAAAACTTTACACGCTTTTTCTAGTGGTATCTCAATAAAATTTTTTTTTTTTAATCATGGTTTTATAGAGCTAATGTAAATAGAAAACCTTCAATATTTAACTAAAAAATTCATACCATATTCTAAAATGTAGGGTAAACTATATTTACATCCATCACAAAAACAAAACCATGAACAATAAAAAAAAAATGGCTATGAATTTTCAAAAAAAAAGAGGTTTTATTCTTGATTTCTACAAAGTGATTAAAAGTGATATTGGCCCTTCTTGACCCATGGTCCAGTTATATATGTACAATATTTATACATCAGATATTACATATTATATAATTACAACGACTAGTACAAATCACTTTGAAAACTTAAAAATATTCACTAAAATTAAAAAAAAAAAAACGTACAGTTTATGAAATTCAAACAATATAATTTAGAACTCTTATTAAACAGTATACAGTATACAGTATACATACTTTTAAAATATGTTTTTGTATACAAATTTGAACTACTAAAATAAATAATATTGAACAAATTGTTGTACAAAAGTTCAATTAGTTCTTCATTAAAACTAAGTAGCAATTTGGACATCTAGTAAATTACTTTCTTTTCTAAATACAAAAATATAAAATAGAGAATTGTTTAGATTCAATCAAATGATATCAGGCCAATAATTATAAACTGTAAAGTCAACAAATACTATGTTAGTTTATGATAAAATATAAAACACGAATCAATATTAAAATTAAAATTATACAAATGCTCTATTTTAGTAAGCTACTCTGAATACAGTTCCTGCTATTTAACTTATCGTCAATTATCACTTTTATGTTACTAATTAAAAAACTATTACAATTTGATTTATTATAGTCTATTCAGAATAAGAGCACACCAGATTTACGTAGCAAAACTGGTTTTGACCGTGGCTGCCTGGTGTTGTCTTATTCTGAATAGAGTATAGTATACAACGTATACGTATATTAAAATTATTTCTCAAGTAAACATTTTAACTTATTCATCATATTTTCATATAAACTACTATTTTTAGAAACAACATTAACATAATTATACCAGTGGTAATACCGTATATAATTTATGTTCATATATTGTTCACCATTATCCATTTAACCATAATAGATACTCCATAATTAAATTAATATTTTTTTACCAACAGAGTTTTGGATTTCTTCAATGCCGGTTGTGTATTTTAATACCTTATTAATGGTGTATAAAAATGTATTTATTGATCAATTGAACACCAATACAAATTCTACTGTAAGTATTGTAAATCTTTATTATAATCGTATGTAACTTACTATCTGTTGACTACTAACTGAACACTGTTGAAAAGATTCATTATCATTAATCGACAAAGTAGAAATATTAGAAATAACATTTTTAGGACTTAAACATATAGTTGTGCCTAAAGTAAAAGAAATGTTTATAAATTTAAATCTAGTTTAAAAAAAAATATTCTAATGGTCATAGATAGACCAACACTTACTTTAATTATATATAGATATAACAATTTAAAAACTATAAACGTAATTTTTTTTTAAATGTGACAATATATATTTTATGACAAGTTTTTTAATACAATTAAGAATTTATTTATTTAATGTGGTACGAATGAACAGAAGATATTGTCATGTGTGTGTTAATTAATTAAGGAGTGGCGGTGATGGGGAGTGGGATTTTGCTTATTAGGGATGTTAGAGCAGCTAGGAGGGAGAGGATTTATTATTAATTTTAACTCGTTAAGGAAATTGGTGACGATTTGCAGAGGTTTATCGGATGGTAATGTGTTCGCTGTAGCTTCGGCATATAAGGGTTTCCCTTTTGGGTTTGAGCTGAGCTTGTCATACCCACCATTGTGAGGTGTAGACCACCTACATGTGTTTGAATGTGTTGATTTTCTCTTATTTTGTTCCGGTTTTAGATTTGATGTGGCTTTATATTTTTTTAAATGTTTGGCATTCTTTATAATTGGCAGGGTGGTTTTCACAACAGTCAGCACATTGCTGGTTCCTCCAGTTTTTCTTGTGCAATTATCGATGTAGTGGTGATCAGTTCTATATTTTACGCATTGCGGGTACTAGCGGCAGTAGTTGCGTTTGTGCTCCATACTTTTGACAGTGGTGGCATTGGGGAAGACCAAGTTGTCTCTTTGGGTATTCAAATTTTACAATTGAGTTTAATATATTGGTGATTTTGAATATTTCACGATTATAGGCGTTACGAACTAGGCTGATGTTGAATAGTGGAAGTGGTAATTTGTTGTGCAGTGTGTTATATTTGTAACGCTGATCACTTTATGCCCAAAGTAACTTAGACAGTTTACGATATCTAAATATTTTGATTGATATAATATTATAAAAGAAATTATTATAATATTGGTTGTTCATTTCATATTGTTCGATTAAAATAAGAAATGATACATTTAAGCTCGCTTAAATCACATCTGAAACATTTCTAGAGCTGGTATGCATATTAATTTACTTAGTGTACTAAACTAGTGCCATTGTGAGAGTGCCACTGGGCGACGACCACAATTTGTCAGATCTCGCGCATTCCCACCACTAAACCTTCCCGAACGCTGGCCGCTGCCACTTCCACCTGGTCGCGCGTAGCCAGTGGTGGGATTTAACTAGGCGGTAGAGTGGGAGAAATTTGGGTTTGAAACCAAGGTTCGGTCATTTGGATACGCCAACGAGTGGCACTCTCTGGATGGCACTAGAGATTTTGCTATAATTAAAAAAATTACTTAAGCTATAATAAATCTTTAGTAAAATTGAAGAAGTTCAAAGTAATTACTGAGTATTTTTTGCATAAAAAATTATTTACTTTTGCCATTTGTTAATTTGGTTATTAATCATGTTGTTTTTTAGGAACAAAAATGTTGGGATAAAGCATTGGTAGTGGCTGCTTCAATGTTAGCTAAATTAAATAAACTTAATTCCAATTTAAACGGGCATCAAGTGAAGAAAGGCCAATTGAAAGTGCCATACACCTCATTTTATATTCCACAATTATCTGATAAGATAGATATACCTTCTGATTACATGAAGTGGATACGTGCCGATAATAACGGAATTAAAGTAAGTATATGTTATGCTGTCATTTATTGGTATGAAATACTTGTCGCATTCATTAAATTTAAACTGTTTTTAGTATCAAGATTTTTATTTTTGTAACTATCCTTTTCTGTTCAATGCTGAAGCTAAAACAATACTTTTACAAGTTGATCAGAAAGTACAGGTGTGTGTGTATGTTTCTTAATAGAACAAAATTGATAGCAGAATTTAAATAGAGAGTATGATTAAATTTACGACTATTTGATTTCAGATGCAACAAGCAATGCAAGCTGCAGCAACAAGAGCATTTACGCAAATGCTATTTTTGGACGTGAATCAGCCTAATTTAGCAAATCAATTTATTGAGCTTAATGTCTCACGGAATAACTTAGTTGTAGATACAATACGTGAATTGTCTCTTTATACTCAACATGATTATAAAAAACCTTTGAAAGTGAGAACCTTATAATTAAAATAATTCCTGGTAAAATACTTTTATTGTGCATTAAATAGGTAAAATTTATTGATGAAGAAGCTGAGGATGCTGGAGGAGTAAGAAAAGAATTTTTTATACTTTTGATTAAAGAGATTTTAGATCCAAAATTTGGTATGTTTGTAAATTATGAAGATACAAACATGATATGGTTTAATGACTCTTCCTTTGAAGATGTTACAATGTATTATCTTATTGGTAAAAATCACTTTTCTGTTTGTATTTTCATTTAAAGTATTTGTATTTATTTACTTATATTTCTTTAGGTTTGATGTGTGGCTTAGCGATTTATAATTTTATTATCATAGACTTACCATTTCCTGTAGCATTGTATAAAAAACTACTTAACGAACCTATTACCCTTCAAGATTTTAAAGATCTGGATCCAATGGTGGGTATGTAAGTACATCTAAAATTTGCTCACAAAAATAACTCAATTATATTTATGTTTAATTATTTTTACAGAAGCTTTGAAGAATTATTGGCTTATAGTAAACCTGATCTTGATGAAGTATTTAATCTCACTTTTGAAATCACTAGAGAAGTTTATGGAGAAATTCAAACAATTCCATTGAAACCAGATGGGGCTAATATAATAGTTGATCAAAATAATAAGTAAGTAAACATAAGTAATACCTGCGTTTATGTTTGAATGTTGTATTTATGTATTTTAGGTTTAGAACGAATTTGTCGATTGTAAGTAGATATGGTATTAAACCGTAGAGTTGAAAAAACATTTAATGTATTCAAAGATGCATTTTTAAAAGTGTGCGGTGGACGAGTTTTAAGGTTATTCCATTCGCAAGAACTAATGGCTGTTGTTGTGGGCAATCAAGACTACAATTGGATTGAGTGGGAGAATAATGCTGAATATAAAAATGGTTACAATAAAGACGACGAGACAATAAAAATGTTTTGGGAAGTATTTCACGAGTTTAACATTGATGACAAAAAAGAGTTTTTGCTATTTCTTACAGGAAGCGATCGTGTACCCATTATGGGAATGAAAGCAATAAAAGTAAGTAATATTGGTACTTTTTCATTATTACAATTACTACCCGTAGCATACACAGGTTGAAATGGATAAATAGTGTAGCAGTGAAAGGGTTAAATTATGTCTTATGTATTGTTAGACTGCAAAAATGATGTCCATTAAATTTTGTGAAAAATTTGGATAAGAATCATAATCATGTCATAGTTATAGATTGGAATAGTTACATCCAAAAAGTATGGACGGTAGAGCTGTCTAATGAAATTTAATACAATTTAACAAAAAGTAGGCTGCACTTTACATGTGGTTTCATACTTCTGCGCATGCACGAAAAACCAACCAGGTTGGGTATAGTTAAAAACAAAAACAGTATTAATACGTAATTATTGTATTATATTATGATTCATCTATATTTCTTACATGTTTTAATTGGATTAAACAAATTATGAATAAACTTGTATTAAGTATTACTAACAATTAATCTTGTTTTTGATTTCAAATTGTTATATTGACTTATTATAGTAATACATCGCTGTAACACAGTTTACCGTGACCTCACCACCCATCCTTACTGGCCAGACTTGCTCAGTCTATGAGTAAAAGGTCTATGATAAGAGTATGTTTTCAAAATAATAGTTTTGCCATAATAACAGTGGATATTTGGAGACATTTGTCAGAAAACTAATAAAATATAATTTTTTTATAAGTGAACAAAAATTGTAAATTAAGTCTAGTGGTAATTGAAATAATATAATTGTATTGTGCTGGTAGTCATAGCATTAGAAAAGATTAATTCTTAATTAGGTAATCATTTAGTATGTGACCTACGTAGCTAAAATTGAGTTGAGTATGTGACCTATCAATACCATTACCAATCTATTAACAAGAAAGATACATTTTCACATTTTTAAGTGATAGAAAAAGGTGTACTGTTAAACATTAATAACAATTTTATGAATAATTTTAAAATATTGTATCTATATTCTTTTTTTCTTTTGTTGATATTTTGTTGAACTGATTTTCACATTATTGAATGTAATCCTGTATTATTTTATATTTGTATTACTAATTAATTATTATAAATAAATAACATAGTTTTATGATTTTTACTTTGACTGAAAATACAAAACGAATACCCAATAACGTAGGTCACATACTAAACAATCCTTATTAATTACTAATTAATAAATGTCTTTTCAGATTTTATCCAGCCCACCCTAGATGATAACTTCTTGCCTGTGGCACACACATGTTTCAATCTTTTAGATTTACCGAAGTATAAATCCAAAGGAAAACTGAAGTATAAGCTGACTCAAGCCATTCACCAGACACAAGGATTTTCTCTGGTCTAAACATTTTATGACACACATTCCTCAAAAATAAATACACTCAAAATTAAATGTTTAATTAACAAACTTTATCGTAGGATTTAATGGCAGAGGAGCTCAGCATTATAATTGTTGAATATCAGGGTTACATTATTCGCTCGTGTTAATGTTATGTTTTCGTTCCTTAATGCCTAGATTAAGATTTATGTTATTTATTCAAATAATTAATATAATATAAGCTTGTGGCTGGTTAATAAATTGTTTAAGACATAATAATATTTGTAATATTTACTCAAGGACAATAATTACCGTGTAGGTGAATTTAAAACTTGATTAAAAAAAATTCAACTAAAAATCCTCGGTTTTTTTATCTTATCATCAGTTCCAATCAACTGGTACTAAAAAATAATCAATATATAAACCATGAAAACTATATAGAATAAGGAGACCAAATATCTCTTCTGATAATGTCCCGAAATGAGTTGCACGATTAAACGGTCACAGGCTGCACTACGTGTGCACTGCTCTAGGGTAAAGTACCCTTGTAGTATAGGGATTATTAATGTTTTTTGGAAAATATATACATTATTTTGAACTCTGACCCTCGTTAGATTTTATAGCTTGTACGATTACGCATTTATACATGTGCATAAGTGGATATCTCATAAACATGTTATTCTTAACAGACAAATTTGAGTGTAACGATACATATATTGATATAAAATGATCGTTCAAGAAGACACGTGTGTGTGGTGTATCAAATATTATCGGGCTAAGACTTGATGTGAACAGATATATAGGTAAAAAATAACTAGATATAGTGTCAATAGTTTGTATAACTAAATTATTTACACAAAAATAATATTTATGAAATATACACATATGCAAGTCACGTATTAAATGTGTAATCGTACAAGCTATAAAATCTAAAATGGGTCATGGTTCAAAATAATGCATATATTTTCCAAAAAACATGAATAATTCCTGTACTACACCAGTTAAAATAGCAACTCTATCGTACACATCGCAGACTGTGGCCATTTAATCATGCGACTCATTTCGGTACATTTATTTTTATATTGGTATTCATATTTTATTTTTCATAGTGCAAACTATGTAGTATGTACATACATCAGATGTTCATTTGGAACTCATTCCAATAAAGTACTTTACTTATAATATATTATATTTATTATTAGTATTTAGTAGGTACCAATATTTTAATCATTATTGCATTGTACTTTAATTGCTTAAATTACTGTACTGTAACTGTTTAAGATGATGATTATTGTATATCACAGACTTATATTAGTGCTTGAATTATGAGGGGATACGGGGGGTCGGAGTCCATTTTCTTTGTGAAAATATCTATTTTCCTTCTAAATATATCCAAATCAAAAAAAAAAAATTCAATATTCAGGTATGCACATATTTTTTACACTTTTGTATCCCACCATTGCTTATATCACAAAATACCTACTATGTAGTAACTGTACCTCTTGTCTGCATTGCAATCATTTTACACAGAGAAAGGGGAACGACGTAAAAATATTTATGAGACTTTTGGTTATGTGCCCATTTATTGATTATTGTTGTATTTTTTAACTCTCTGGATCCCAACCACGAATTTGTGATCCCAACTCATCTATTACCTTACTTACCTCAGTTGACAAGATGTGTCTGATATTCGTATATCGTAAATTGAAATTAAAGCAGTCAATTATTTTTGTCCTTAAAACAGTGTTTTACTATATGACGAGATGATATAAATTGGTACATCAAGTATGTAGTCTATAAACAAAGCCCAGAACAAAATCTAACAAAAAAAATAAATAATATTTTACCCTATTACAATTACTTTAGGACGTATACGGCAGTCTGAATACCAATAACTAAGTATAATATTGATTCATGTAGTTATTATTTAATAATTAAATAAATATTACAATCAATCCTCTAAATATCGGACAAAATTTCAGTGTTTGAGTGTCCAGTAATTAGAGCCTCAGACGTTTCACATTAACAATATTATAAGGGCAACTTGTTTTTTGGAATTTATATTTCAGAAGAAACTGCTGACTTTAGTTTTTACTATTGTTTTTCTTCTTAATTATGTTACACTAATAAAAAAAATTACTTTTCACCTATTAGAGATCAGCACAGGTTGTTTCTTTCGGCTCGATCCTTTAATTTAAAAAATGTCAGTTTGTAATATTGTGTATATTATATTATATTACGGTTAATACAATTATATAATTAGAAATGTTTAAAAATAAAAATCTTTGAAAGTTTTACTGGATTGGGCACCACTCACGTCTGAGTTGAACAGTAAAAACATTTAATCTGTACTATTATATAAAGAGGAGTTGTTAGTTAACATTGTTGAGGGTGATCTCTGGAACTACTGAATCGATTTTGAAAATTCTTTCACCCATAGAAAGCCAAATTCTTTGTGAGTGTCATAGACATTAATCTATAAATAAAGTCAACAACCCGAGGAGGTGCTCAAACACACAGAATTTTGAGATTTACGCTGAAATTTTTTGTTTAAAAAATGGTTGCTATTGGTTATAGAAGAAAAAAATAGTAGAAATTAATATTTATTATTTTATTGGTTGCCATTGGCTAACGAGCAGATCAGGTACAAGCATGCATCAAATCTAATTTTCACACATTGCCTACAAAGATGGCTAAGTTGCAGTTATAGCCGCTGATCGGCGTGTCTTCTTGAAATGCTGTCGCACATTGACCGTGATCCGACATAGTCGGATTGCCTACCAGGGTATATTAGTTGCACTGACTGCGCAACGAGTTACACCCAAAAAGAGTTGAACAATCACAATTTTTTTTTAAGAATTGTCACTTTTTACAGGCAACGAAATGCGTGGGATCAGCTAGTATAGATATAATTTAAAACGCATTATTTTTCTAAATTATATGCCCTCTGTTTGTTTAAATTTTATTGATTTTAATATTTAGTCATCACTCATCAAGAATAATCATAATAATATTAAAAATACATAACCATTAAATAAATAACATAAAGATATTTAAATATTAACTTCAAAAAGGTAAATCATATTATTTTGATAATTAGATATATTGTAGCTTTATGTTATGTATAAGTAAAATACAAATATAATAATATACAAATTTAAAAATGTTGGAACAATATAAAAACTGTTATTGAAAAATAATATCTTCATCATCAGTAGATTTAAGATTATTTTAAAAGTTTATACTTTTCTATTACATATGATTTTTAAAATGTTTGCTATATGCAGTTCATGAAATGGAAAATAATTTACAAAATAAATGGCTGAAAATTAAAAAATATATAAAAATTGTGCAATTTATTGATAAATTTTAGTCTGTTAAATAAAATTTAGTTTTTTAATCTTTTAATTACAGTTTCTTCAAATTCAACTTTTTTATCAATTCGAATATGTTCAATTCCTTCTAAGACTTTTGATTCAATCCAGTGAGGTACTATTTTTTGGAGAAGACTGAAGTGAGCTTTCCATTCCTCTAAAATAATAAAAAAATTGACTCTTTTGCTGGAAAAATTATAAAATATAAGATTATTTAATTACGGTCTGTCATAGATTCAGGATAACTCTGCTTTAATTGATTGATGATTTTTTTGACCGGCATAATATTTCCTCGAAGTTGTACGAAATAGGTACGCATACTTCTTGCAATATCTGGTAATCTATTCATCATTCTATCTTCTTTCAATTGACCCACTGACCGTGTCATCAACTCTTTAGCCTTTGCCGCTTGCTTTTCTTGAATCTACATAAATATTTGAGTAGAAATGTAAAAACAGTAAAATAATAACAAAAAAATTACCTTAAGTAAAAATGATTTTGGAATCCCTTTAAGTGCTCCTATTAATGCATTTTTTGCATCTGTTGAAGAAAATTTTTTCTCGGTTATAATTTCATTTTCATTGTTCATTGTTATGAGAGTCCGATTCAAACGATTATTATAAGCAAATAATGCATGGGACTTATCTAGAAACAAATTAAACCATAATTAATGCATTGCCGCATTGGTTGTATAATTTATAATGTAATGTAATTATGTAAATATTTTTGCAAAACATATATCCTATATTACCCAATAAATCTTTTGCAGTTTCTAATTTAGGTTTATTAATTTCAATTTTAGGTAATGTTGAAGGAATTATATCTATTGCGGATTCAACATCAAACTCAGGATGCCATCTAGTTATTTTATTTTTGTCAATCACAATAGGTGGAATTAATGCATTCAAATATTTCTGGAAACAAAAAATATTACTTATTTTAAACTAAATTAGCTACAATTATAATAAAATCATACTTTATGATGCTCCTTCATAATGTCAAGTAGTGCATTATAAAATATCTTTTTTCTCCGAATTGTTAGTTCAATTAAGTCAATGTTATCTTCATCTTTTGAGCCTAATTGATATAAAAATTAAATAATTTAACAATATGAGTTACTGTAGGTAATAAAATATTTACCATAATTCGGAACTATTACTAATTCCTGACTATATTTCTCTTTTGGTGATTTTACTAATGCAAACTTGAATAAATCTGGTACTACAGTTTTAATTTGTGCTAAGTGGAATTCAGTAAAATTCCTAAAAGTGAATTACATTTGAAGTTTGAACAATTATAAGTTGTTTATGGAATTTTCAATAAAAAGATATTTAGATGATTACTTTCTAGTCATATGCTGAACACCACGTTTGAGTTTATTAAATGTTATTTTTTCTTTTCTAGTAAACATCATTGACGAAACAGTTTCCATAGCCTTGAATAATTCATCCAAAATACGGTACTTCAAAGGCAAAGGTAATGCTTTAGAATCAGCCAATGCAGCATATCGTTTTGATGGTGAAAAAGCCATAAGAGACCCAACTTCGTCTAATAGTTTACTAGGCGAAACATATTCTGTCGGCTGTGTCATCTGAGTGGTCATTTCATTCCTTGGACTAACGATAGATTGTGCTGGGCTGAGAAATAAGGATGAAGGTTTAAGTTGAGATCGTTTTATGGGACTTGATACAACTTTTTCTGGGCTAGTATCAACCAAGAGATCAACTGATTTAAATGAGGATAAGTAATGATTTTTGGCAGCTTTTACTTTAGATTCAGCAGAGTTAAGAGCAATTTGAGATTGATCTACCACACTGATCAATTCTCGTAATTTTTTAAAGTTATGCTTATGACGAACAATTTTGCGAAATTCACCCAAATCCAATTCCTAAAATAAATAAAATATATATGAACTTATTATAATTGTTTGAATAAAAAAATGCATTATTTTTATTGTATTACTAGATTTCTGGCATGATGAACAGTTAGGTAAGGTTAACAAGATTATCTTTGTATCTTAAATGTTTATCATAGCAATATGTCTTACAAATTAACGTCTTATTATGAGTCATAGGAATTATGTTTTAAAAGAATTAAAATATTATGTGAATGTAATTGTTTACCTAATTATTAATCATATCTGGAAAATATACTATAAAAAACTATAAAACAGTAATACTGTATTGATAAACATACTTTACGTAATTTAGCTTTAGTGGATGGTGTTTGATCCGGAGTTGTAGCTCTCTCTGAATAGATTTCTTGTTTATTTTTACCCTTTTTTTGCTCCAAAATGTGTTCCGCAACTCCATTATTAACACCAGCATTTAGATTTTTTTGGAAAATTGTTTTTGCTATACCAAAATCAACCTAAAAGAATAAATGAAATGGGTAATAAAAACAAAGTGATAGGTAGACAAATAATATGCATTCTACAGAATAATAAAAATAATAGGTCAGAGGCATGCTGGGACTAATAATTATTCTCTTCAGTAATAAATTATAATTTTATAATATAAAAATTATTTTGATACTAATTTACTATGTTTTAGAATTAAACTATAAAAATCTCATTTTTATATATTATTGTTTTTTTTTTTTTTTTTATTTTAGTTTGTCTACAGTCAATTTACTTTCCATCAAGTAGCGGGGTCATAATATATTACCAATATACCATAGTGAGTTAGTTATTATTCTGATTGTAATACATTCAAAGGATTGTAAAATTTTTATAACTGAAGGTTTGAAGGCTCCCCATAATTAAATCCCAGAGGCCAGGTGTAATGAGGAATGATTTATAAATAAAGTTTTTTTTGTTAAATTATTGAAAATATCATCATTTTTACATGTATTAGTAAAAAAGTTATTAAAGTAGGTACCTATAAAATGTTATATTATGTTATATTATTTGCATTGTATGTTGCTGTTTTAATTTTAAAATGAGCAACTGTATCCATATTTTAAATTGATATCAGAAATAAAACCACATTTATTAAAACATACATCTAGTAAAATTATATTTAATTTTAAATAGATTAACCGCCTAAATCAATATCAATCATATAACCTATAGACTATAACTATATTCTACAAGTAACTGACTTATTCTATGAAATACATTGAAACAAAACCTCTATACCAGCCACCAAGCAACTCTTTTTCCAATTTTTTTTATGCAAACAAATGTATTTTTGTATACTAAAATCCAGTGGCGTATTTAGGATTTTGTCATGGGGAGGGATATGATTTTATCCAGTACTTATCAACTCGAGGGGGGCTCCGCCCCCCTCACCCCCTAACTTTAAATACTTAAATATAAAACTACAATTTTACTACAATTTTTTTTATTTTTATTTTACAAAACAAAGTCTAGTTTTCTAGATGTTTTGGACAATTGAAGGGCTCTGTGCAATAACCAGACAGCTCCGTTTTATCATTTTTTTCAGGAAGCACATATTTAATGTTTAATATATATTTAAGTGAAGAATAATAAAAAGAAAAATTATTTTATATACTTAAAATAGTGATAAAAACTGTGGTACCCTTAATTAAGTTGATACATGAATATTTTTTACACTTTTAGCCACAAATAAGAAATTTTTCTTGGAGTTGTCTTGTTTATTGCTCGGAGTTATTAAATCTTTTTTTTTTATTTTTTTTATAATGTAAAAATCTTACTAAGAATTAGTTTTTTTTATTTAACTGAGTTAATAATTATCATGTAATTATACTATCAAACAGCATACTTGAGTTTTAAGAAAAAAAAACTAAACCTGTACATGATTTTAAAAATAAACAAAAAAATAGTTATAATTTCTGGACAATAAACAAGATAACTCCAAAAATGATTTATTGTTTTTAGTTTTAACTCTGATAAATATACAAATAAATTTATTAAAATAAGCTTAGTAAGTGTATAGAAATCATAAGTTTTTCCACTAATAATATTTAGCTATATATAGTTTAAATATATTAATTTATGAATTTTGTTCATTCTTCAGTAATATTTCTACTTTAACCACTTAGTATTATGTTAACTGAAAAATTAAATTGTTATTCATTTAATTTTACATAAAAACTGGCTATCATTCCTTAAAGATAGCGATAGGTAATAATATTAGTCATAGTAGAATGTAAACACATTTAATTACATTATAAATGTTATGAACATGGTAAAAGATAGTAAAATAAAAATATTAGTAACATGAATATTTTATTTATCAGCTTGATTTTATCAGTCATTACATATAATATCTTACAACAAATAAAATAATAAAAACCAATGAAATATTTATAACAAAACTATTAATTAACTTGATTTTTTATCAATCATAGTTAAACAGTAAAATATTTGAAACAAAACTAATGATCTCCTTGATTCTTAAATTTTATAATAAAAATAATAAATAATATCACTCATAATAATTCAAATTTGAAATCTTAAACAAAATTATACTTCAAAACAATAAAATTAATAAAACAAAACTAATTATCTCCTCGATTCTTAAATTTTATAATAAAAATAATAAATAATATCACTCATAATAATTCAAATTTGAAATCTTAAACAAAATTATACTTCAAAACAATAAAATTAATAAAACAAAACTAATAATCATTTTGATTTCTTAATATTCTAAAATATATTTTCTTTAATATTAATATTAAAACTGAGTAACAATTTTTAATACCTAGTCATCTTTATCATTGGATATAGTACCATTGTTATCTTGATTAGAACTGGTTTCTTCAACTAAAGATCTATAGAACCAAATGTATTCAGGTGGAACATACTTTGATGCTAGGCATTGCACATCAACAAACTTGGCAGATTTAATTTCTAATGATCCATTATATAACAATTTAGGAATAGTTGCACATAAAGATTGTATATTATTCTCTACTCCTTTTTTTTTTCAAGGATAAATTTTTCTTTACCAGTAGAATGTCCAGAAATACTACAAAATAAGCCAGCAGCTGCTCGCGCGCTCTCCTCAGTCCTCACTCTTTCGACGGCTCCCGGACTATCGTCTAATTTAGATTTAAAAAAAAAAAAAAAAAAAACTCAACTCAAGCCTTGGGGGGGATCAAACCCAATGATCCCCCCCCGTAAATACGCCACTGCTAAAATCAGAAATTTGACAACACTCTACATTTTAATATTATAAACACATAAAGTTTGTTGTTTTTACCTAATTGACAGTGGGATCACTTGTTCACTCGAACAGTTACATCAAAAAGATTTTTCAATATGTTAGGAAAAACCACTTTGGGTATGTCTGTGGTAAAAATAACATTTTTAACGGCGCATATAAATGTGGCAGGGTCACTCTCTTGCTCGAATAGTTATATTGAAAACATCTTTAAAATTGTTATAAAAAACTACATTGGGTAAGTCTGTAAATAGTTAAAAACTTCAAATGGCTATAATATTTCACCATCGTTTTCAGCATACAACAATACATTTGTTTTCATAAAAAAAGTGTAATTTTGTAAAGTAGTTTTAACACCAAAAAAATATTATAACCAAATAAATTACATCATAATATTATATAAATAATAAACTTTAATTAATAGGGGTCTTTTATCAAAGCCAAATATATGAATAGGTATTATTAAAATAAAGAAACATAATACTAATATCACTTGGTATATCAGCAAGGCTGGGCATTAACGAGTTAAAAAGTTAAAGTTAAGTTATTTTTAAGTCTGTTAAATAACGAGTTACTTTTTTTTTAGAAGTAACTTCTAACTTCATGAGTTACATTTTTGCCCATGTTATTCAGTAACTTATGAATTAATTTATTACATTGTCATAATAAGTTGATTTTATTCCTAACCCACAAATTAAGAATATATCTCGGAATATATTATTCAATTTTGTAAAAATTAATTTTATAAAAAAAAAGTAATAATAATCCTAAATATTAAATATTCACAGAATTTATTTTATTTTTTTTTTTATTAATTATCCCGCGGAAACTTAGGCCATTGGGAGGGGGGTTGGTACTGTAGGTTATTAACGGTAGGTGAGTGTTACACGTGGGTGTATTTTGGCAGAATTTTGAATGAGGCACCCGTAGGTTTTTGCCATGCCCCGGAGTGGGGGATGGCGGCACTTGTTTTCCGGACACCGTGACTTGCCCGGAGAAAAATGCCTCCCAATGGCCGAGAATCGAACCCGCGACTGCCAGCGCCGCAGCCACCTCGTCCCCCACCGAATTTATTGTACACCTATATAATAAACAGTTAACTATTTACTTTCAGTATCCCATACACATTATTATACTCATTAGTAATGACTCATTTTACTCATTAACTTATCATCAGGGCTCGGGACTTATAGCACTTAATTAAAATCATTAAAATAACCGCTTAAAAACATCATTATAAGCACTCAAATAAGCATTTAAAAAATTTAAATTCAAGCAAAAACATTTCATCAAAAAAAAAAAACTTTCTTTTTACATGATAAAGTAGGTACTGTGGACATAATTTGTATAACTGTGCTAAAAATAATGATTAGTAAAAATTTCTAACTAAAAAATAAATCTTTATATCATAAAAAAAAATCTAACTTCACTTTCAAGACAATTTGCATTATTATTTATAGATTTTCCGAGGGATTTTCTGAAAATTATAATGTAAACGATATTTACAATTAGTTGAAAAAAAAAATAATTAGTTAAATCTTACCGTCATTATTGCATTAAATGATTTAATTTTAATTCTATCAAAAACAACTTTGCAGTTTAAAACCATAAAAAAAAGTAGAAAAACTGGTCAAAAAAACTGGAAATAAGCATTTTTTGAAAAATCTATGAAAAAAGCAAAAAGAACCACTTTCAAATTTCATAACTGAACGTGTCGTAACACGACATACACTTCCGTAGCACTCTGCTATATTTTAAGTCGATCCATAAAAATAAGTAAATGCTTTAAGCCCCGAGCCCTGCTAATCATTAATAATATTAAATGTTACTTAATAGGTATTACATTTCTATTCATTTATGGAATTACAGTGATAACTTGGACAACTTAAATAAAAGAACAATCTATTAAACAACACTGTAATATTTAAACAAAATATAATCTGTCGACTGTGTAACATGTAGTCTAAAATTATTTTTCACAATCTTGTTTTTATATTGCTTTCTGTGGAGCTGTGTGCCGAGTCACCAATTATACCTATTTTATTAATGAATTTGGTTATCATAATATTTAATATAATTATGCACCATTATGCAAACAAATACATAAAAATAATTTAATTACCATGTAAGATTTCATCATTGATTAAAGCATATATTAAGTACCTAGGTACCATATTAATTTTAATACCTACATACATTTATTTGAAAATTATAACCTATAATATATTTATTGAATTACTATAGGTATAATTATTAATTTTATGTGAAAAAAAAAGTAACTGATTTTTAACTAAGTTGTTAGGTACTTTTATTTTCGAATTAATTTGTAACTTTTAAGAGTTTAAAAAAGAAATAAGCATTAAGGGCAACTTTTAACTTTCAACTTAACTTAACGATTTAAAGAAAATAGTAGTCCAGCCTTGTATATCAATATGGTACGTATTAATACATCTAAGTTAGTACCGAGTACCCATAGGCGCACATAGGGGGGTGCTTGGGGGTGCTTAGCACCCCCAAGCTTCAAACTAGCACCCTCAGTTTATTTCAGTATTTTTCACCAAACATTTATAAACTATTGTGGTTTATTGGTTCGGAATTTTTCTTTTCATTACAAATATTGACAACTGTTTACGAATTCACGAATTCATTTTTTTTTTTTTTTGTCTGTCATCATCTTTTAGGACAGTAAAAGTGCTTGGATTTTCTTCAACAATATCTTTTCTGATAGAAAAGTGAATCTAGTTGGTACTTTGGGGGGGGGGGGGTCAAAAGCAAAAATTTCATAGTAGTTTTCAAAAGCGCCGTGAAAAACAAAAGAAAAATTAAGGAAAACTGGGAATTTTTACGCAAAATCTGTTTTCGAGAAAATTGATTTTGGTTTTTGGCGTAACTTTAAAAGAAATGACCGTAGATATATGAAATTTTCACTGGTTATTTATATTTCCATTTTCTATACATGATAAAATTTTCTAAATATTTTGAGTTATTTTGAGCTTTTTACGGACATTTTTAGTTTCCATTTTTTTTAGTTTTTTTTTCTATAAGTATCAATAAAATTTTATTTGTTGAGTATAAAAGCTTAAACATTTAATAGAAGGCTCCTAATATATTGTTTCAAAGACAGATGAAAAATATTAAAAATCCTTACTCACAGTTTTTTGTTATAAGCATTTAAATTCCAAATATTAACAAAATACTACAAAATGACCAAAATTTGCAAATTATTTCGAGTTAGAAATTCATAAAAATTTTTCTTTTTAAATCTAAGATATGAAAATGTAATGCAAGATTCCTCATAAGTTTGTCTACCTTTATCAAAAAAAAATGTCTACAAGAATATCAAATTAAATTTTTATCAACGTTTGAAATTCATATTTTTACAACATTTGATATTCACTCGATTTCTTATGTAACGATTTTCTAATTTTGTTGTAATTAAAAAACGAATGACTGTAGATACTTGATAATTTTACTAAATTTTTATATTAGCATTTCCTATACACCATATAGTTTTGAAAATATTTTGATTCTTTTTGAGCTATTTACAGACATTTTCAGTTTTCAATTTTTTTAATTTTTTTTTCTATTCATATCAATAAAATTGTATTTGTATGGTAAAAAAGCTTAAAAATTGAATGCAAAGCTCCTGATATATTGTTACATTAACACTTGAAAAATATTAAAAATACATAGGCACAATTTTTTTTTATAATTATTTAAAATTCAAATTTTGACAAAATTTATCACATTTAAAATTTAATAATAATTTTATAGTTAAAAATTTATAAAATGTTCAACTTTTATAGCTAATGATTGAAAATTTAAAACAAGATTCTACTTAAATAGGTTATATATAAATTGCTTTATTCACCTTAGTATCATTAAATATACTTAGTAATATCATAGGCTGACTTAATCGTCTTCGCTCAGAATCGTTTTTCATATACAATGATGTTAGTATATCATTGAATTCAAATTTAATACCATCGATTATACAGTGACCCACTTGTACCTTACTGTACAGCAAAGCACCTTTTTTTGTTTATCAAACTTAAATAACTTTTATTTTGGTTTTGATATCGGAAATATAAAAACAAAGTTACAGAGTAAATTTTCTCATTTTTCTAGTGTGAACATTTAGTTTTTTAGCTTAGAGTAGAACCTGAATGTTTTTTATACCCGTGCAAAACAGTTTTGCCTATGTTGTACCTATACGTCTGTAATACGAAGACAACACATGTTGGTGTACTTAGCGTCTTCTTTACAATCTTACAGACTATTTGATACATTTCACTTTAGAAATTATTGTATACACTGTACAAATTAAATTTAATGCAATGCAGAAATATTAGGATTAGGGGGGTGTGGGGGGCAAAGCCCCCCACGGATCTGTGAACCATAAATTATCCCAGCACCCCCTAAATTAACACCCTATGTGCGCCTATGCGAGTACCTATAAGTTAAGCAGTCGACAAACCTTTTGTTTTTTAATCGTTTGCTGCTCAGTACAATCAAACGATAATTTTCTAGATGGTTTATGTATTGCAAATGTATTGTTCACACTTTCCTTATGGTGCAAACCATCTTCGGTGGTGGGTCTTTTTCTACTCTTAATGAAACAGTCCAATGTCCTTTGAGTATCCATGTTTACTTCAATAATAATTCGGTTGAATTGTCAGTGCCTAGTCTCTGTTGACAAATACGTCGTAAATAGAATGTTTTACTCTTGCTACTTGCTAAAAAGGTAGTCAGTATTATTTAGACACTAGTCAGTAATTAAAAAAAAAAATGGAAATTCCAATAGCGATTGCCTAATAATTATCAACGCCGAACGTGAATGCCGGTTTTGGCGGTTTAACCGTGTGACTTACTGACAAGTAAACAATATTGTAAAAAAAAATAATAATAACAAGTGGTTCTATGCAGCTGTGGACAGTGGTGCCGGGGAGGAATTTCAGTATTTGTGGTGCACTGGTCACTGGTGCATCGTGAACGGTTCTGTGCTGTTCACTCAATAGCAGTGTAGGCCTAAACGCATAATTATTGGACAGTGGTTACCAGTTGTTGTTACCACCTCAATTTTTTTAATACACACGTTTTTGCGATCAGAACTCAGAAGTCAGCAGCTGCAGCAGGCCGTTCGTAGCTGTTAATCGTTATCATTTGACCTGAAATCGGAAAAACGTTATTTATGTTAATTTTAAATAGGTACTTTGCAGTTTTGCAAAGAATACCGACAAAAACAAATAAATTATAAATACATATTTTTACTATTCAAATTATCAATTGTGTTCATCGTAATGTACTCGTCTGTTTAGTGTGTGCGTATTATTATATAATATAATAATTGGTATTTTATAATAATTTCCACATAAACACCACACTGCCAATTGTGGTGTGAGTCGTGCAGTTAACGACTCTCCCATTACTATATAGCTGTTTGTTTATCCTTCGTTACCGTCATAGTATAGTGATTTCAAGTATGTATACATTTCTATAAAATATATATTACCCCTAACTGTAAAACACTCGTTGGTCAACCTCTGCTGCAGGTGTACACTATTCAGGGATTAATTTGACTTAAGAATAAATAACTATATCTCTGATTATTGAACATAGTATATAACTCTGCACAAGTTGTGTGTATACTAAATAATATGTCTTTTGGATTTGATGAAATGTTTTATTGTAAATCTTGTTGATAGATCTCTACATAGTTTGGATAAGATCTGTTAACTGTTATGAAATCTTTTTTAATGGTTTAGTATTGCATTTATGTCCGTCCAAGTATCCAATAAATTGTCCGCATTGTAATAATTTTTCTTTTAGTATGATATTGGGCAATGTGTTATGTGGGAATTACAGAAAAAATCTGACAAAAATAACCAAATTTGAATATTTTGCTATTATGTTATGTTTTATTAGACAAGTTATTATTACAAATTTAGATCGATAATCTAATGACCATCAGCTAAGCAGCGTGACTGATAAGCTGCAGACATACCTGGTTAGGTATATCATGAAATTAATAAGTGGACTTCCCAAAATTTAAAATTCTTCAAGTGCATCTATGTATATATAATTTATATCCTATAAATTAAATGGTTATTTTGTAAGTCAAACTCACCATTCCCAATCTATTCTGATTACAATTTGAGAATTTGTTACAGACAATAAACATTATTATTTGTATAATTAGGTATCTAGGTACCTACCTATACTCTTTTCAGAATAAGAACGCACCAGATTTATGTAACAAAACCGGTTTTGTCCGTGGCCGCCTGGTTCCTTCTTATTCTGAAAAGAGTATAGTACCTAACTTTTAGATGTCAATCATTTTTACAAACTTTATTTTACCAGGTTCAGGGTCTATATGTATACAAAAATATACTAACAAAACAGTAACTGAACTTAAAAAACCACTCCTTAAGCTATGATAAGAGTACCTATGCATAAAATAACAGTAATAAAAAAAAGTCTGGTTAAGTCACCTATATAGTAGATACAAAAAAAAATTAGTTTTATATATTTTTTTAGAATTATTTAAATGCAACTTTAGATAAATTGTATTATTATAATAAATTACAACTATTATTGATTATAATTTGTAATTAGAACTATTGTCTAATAAAATATGACATGATAGCAAAATGACAAATTTGGTTTTTATTTTCTTTTTACCATCATGTAGAATTAATATACTAAAACTAACTAGTATACTACTAAATATCTCTTTTTTTGTGTTTGTTATAAAAATAACTTTTGTTTTTCATATTTTCCTCTCTAGGATCATGGATGCCAACGAGTCAGTTGACTGTTCAATGGCACTTATTGACTGGAGTACTCCTGAAATAGTGAAAAATAAAACTTACGATGGGAATTGTATTAATAACCCGTTTGATATATTGGAGTTGCAAGCAGCCAATATGGATCCTTTTGATTTAGTCCCTAAGCAAACTCCATTAAGAGGAGATCCACCGTGTGGTAACATATTGAGTCCTCTGTGGGAATCAAAAGTCGGCAGGCGAATGCACAAAAGTGTATCATTAACAGACATTCATGGTATTGTAAAACTTTTGGAACAAAACTACATAGAACACGACCAAGATGATTTTGTGAAGAACGAATCAAAAGATAATTATGCCTCACCTGAATGTATTAGCACAAAAACTATCGATCAGTCAATAGAAAATAATGTCTTAGTTCATATGGGTGAAAACAAAATAGAAAATCAAGAGCCACCAATCAAATTGGTTTTTATACCAGATCAGAATGAGGTGGATATAGAAAAAAATTCTTATTGTAACGAACAAGAAAAAAAACAAATTAGAGAGCAAACACGGCAACGAATTGAAAATCTTATTGAGAAAGAGAAAAAAAATTATGAAGAAAGTTATTCTAGAAAGTCATTATTTTGTACACCAAAGCGTAGTAACACAGAGTCAAATTTAATTAAAAATCTAAATTCAAGTGTGTTAAATAGAGGATTCATAGGGAGTTTTAATATAAATTCAAATAGTATTAATAAAACACCTGTAAGTAACAAAAACTTAAAATCATTGTTTTTACTAGTCCTTTATAAATATAATCAATTAATAAATAATTTGAATACTCCATTCTAGGATAATATTATTGATATAAATGAAAACATAACGTCAAATGATAGTTTGGCATTTCCATTCCATGAACTAAACTCGTTTGATCTTAATTCTTTGAAACCTGAATGGGTGGTGGATAACTTCAGCGATAGTGATGGACCTAGTGAGGAACCTAGTGAGGAACCTAGTGAGGAACCTAGTGAGGAACCTAGTGAGGAACCTAGTGAGGAACCTAGTGAGGTTTCATCGGTAAGTGAACACAAGTAATTAATATAAAATATTTATGGGTTTTAAATCATGTATAATGTTATCTGTTAAAGGTAAATTTTGTAACAGAAATTAGACCGACTGAAAATAATCATCAAGTTGATGTCAAGTTGAAAACTCTTAGTCGTCTAGGTATTGAATGGTTTTAATCAAAATAGTCAATAACTTTTGAAAAAAATGTTACTATTTTAGTAATTTATTGCGTCAATCCAGTTTTTATTTAAAAAAATATTTTGGTTTTACTCTGTTATTATTCTTTTAGGAATTGTTGAATCAAAACCAATTGGAAGTCAAACTGTTTTGAAGTCCATGCCAAATAAAAGAATCCAAATGAAAGGTCCATTTATAGCCAATGTCCCGATTAAACACATGGTGCACAATTTCAAGGATGTAGAAATGAAAGATGTCAGTCATGGTTCTGTTAGTCCACGTAAAGTATGTCCATATGTGTGTATGAAAATACATTCCTTAATATGCATAAATATTGGTTACACATTTTATATTTTCTTAGCTTAAATGTATCATCAATATTCTGTATATATGTATATAGTTTGTTTTGTATCACCATTTAATGATATAGAATAGCACATCTTATCATTAAATATTAAGTACATAAATCAAAAATATAAATATTATACTTGAAACAATGTTTGTTCTGTACTATAGATGAAGCCTATAGCTTCTTCTACACCAACAACATCAGATATTGTTACTACAGCTAAAACTCCTTCAACTGCCGAGTCTTCTATTAAATCAAGGTATGTACATTGTAATGACAACAAATGTTCTTTGATACTAAAGCGACAGGTGGCGCTTTTTTGTTATTGTTTCCAAAACTAGCATCTAATACGGCGAGAAATTTAAAATTGAAGCCAGCCCAAGTTGTGACCCTCTGATCTGAATAAAAAGTTGGCGTTAGTAGAGAGATATTTGTTGTGAAACGCACTTTAATGTGTTTAAAATTGAATCGGAATTTCCAACATTATATTTTATAAAACCTCGATACATTTAGATGTGCACATTTTATTAAATGTATAAATATATTAAACGAGCCTAATATAATATTAACCTGACCTGATTTAACCTTGTATTTTAATAGCAATACTGATGTTCAATTCAATTGTTTTTATTTTGTGTAGGACTAGTTTATCACGCCGATCAATGCCCAATTCTGCAAGTCCAGGAACACCATTAAATGTTACAAAGTGTATAAAAAAGAATTCAACTAATGTAAGTATTATTTGTTTATTGTTTTAGTTAGATTTATTTATAACAATAATTATTTAAATTGTAGACTACAATTGTTTTGTTTGGCAAAGCTAATGAAAGAAATACTGAAATATTACGATCGTTTAAATTAAACAAATCAAAAGTAAGAATTCATTTTTAACCATAATTATTTGTTCATAACTTGTCTTAATATTATAATAATTGATTTTAGTCCGAAAGTAAAATTGCGATGATCTCTAAACCTAATGTAATGAATACAACTAAAATAAGTGTAAGTGTTTGTACCAAATGCCCAGTATTTTTATTTCATACCCGTGTTAAATATTTGCTTGTTTTTATTTTCCTTATCTATTATTTAACATTTATGTCTAGGGCTTGCCAGTTTCAAAACGGTTTACCATGTCATTCAAAGGGAAAGAAAATGTACAATCTCAGTAAATTATTATAATTAGTATACACATAATATTAAATTTTTAAGTCATTTTAAGTTATATTTTATAAATAGATAATTCTACTAATATTTTTTTTATTATTATGAAGTGATTTGTTAACAGTCATTGAAGCAAACACTTTTCTTTTTATAAATAAAACGCTTAATTTTTAAAGTCTGATGTTTTATAAACATATTATACATTTAATTTTTTTTATTATTATTATTTAGAAAAATCAGAATAAAATACCTGTTTTCTAAACTATTAAATTGTATTTATTCTAGTTAAGTTAGTACCCTATTTTTCATGTACCTACAACTGTGTATACATGTAATTATTTACATGTACAATGTACAGTGAACCCTGTCTTAACGGACAATATGATAATGTCCAGGCAAAAAATAGGTAATAGGTAATCCCATGGTATAATAATTTTGAAGTATGCTCAACACCACAATTAAATATATCTTTAATCGTGCTCAACACAAACCGTGTTTTCCACCTAGTTTGCACATATACATCATACATCCTTGTGTTTTTGAGCATATGTATTGTATAACATTAAATGCATACTTGTGTGGCTGTGTCGTCACCTTAAGTTTATTGATGGTTGAATATATAAACTATATGTTACCTCTTAAAAAAAATGTGTGCAGTAATATCATTGAGCATATTATTTTTAATTTCTTATAGAATGAATGTATTCCTTAGTATATGTTTGCCTATAATGAACACTTTCGATGGTTCTGGTCCGTCGTAATATATATCCATATAGGTATCACTGTACTAGATGTGTATTTAAATTAAAAAATGTCTGAGGAGGATTTATAACACCTGAAGTCCATTACATAAGCCTTGCTTATAGCAGCATTTCAAAATTATTTCAATTACTTGAAATGACTTTTCATGCATCTAAAATGAATAATATACAGTTATGTGAAATATGAATGATGAAAATTGTTGGAAAAATTGAATACCGTAAACTCTTGTTATGTCGATATTCAAGGGCAAACAAAACTGTTTGAGCTATCAAGTTTCATTGTAATGGTAATTATTTTAAGGGAATTTCAATAGAACTTTAAATTCCGAAAAATTGAGATATCGACGTTTTTAGATAATAAGAAGCTACGGTTTAATATTTTATAGTTCAACAAGTTTTGGTAAAAAAAATAGCTAAAGTAATAGCTATATTTATTTATTTATTATTATACAATATTATATTTAGGATTTTACAAAGGTGGTTGTGTCAATCGTTTGTAATCAACTTTTTCCAAGTGCACCAGTGGCTTCAGTTGTTCTGCAAATACGCGCATGTCTTCGGCAATAGCATCTTGATTACTGGGTGCCAATACACTCAACTCTACTAGGTATGATTGTGATATTGGATCGACACTCTCCGGAGCAGGTTTACCTACTACCATCATCTGCAAAACATTATTAAATATTATGTAATAAATAATACAGTATAAAAATAGAATTAATATCACCAACTTTAAATATTTTAGACACTGTAATCTTCATTCTGCCTTTACGGAACATATAGCCACGTAAAATGTATTCAAAATCCATGCGAAATCCCATTTCTGTGAGGAAGTCTACTATTGTTGGCGTAGTGGCTACATCAATACTGTTTCGTAGGATCGTCGGTCTAGATTTATCTCCTGAAAACGGGCCAATATTAAATGTCTATAGATTATACTTTATATAAAAGGCATTAAGCTACATTTTTTACATCTATAGGTGCACAATGCACATGAATTGTACCTAGTTCAGGCTGTCCTATGTAACGAAGCTGGTACGGCATGTCTAAATAGTCTATCGCTCTCCTGACTCTCAGTGTGAGCGGTTGCGGCGTTACACTCCCTTAAAGAAATATGATATCAAGAATAATTTAGGATAACCACAAAGTATATACTTGAAAAGATAGAAAACAACACATTACTTATGCTAAAACACATTTCGTGGTCATGGAATGTCTCAGGTCCTGAATCGACGTTGTCGCAAAGTCCTCGCAACCTGTGTAACAGGACCTCGACAGCTGAATCCAGAACACTGCCTTGTAACAGATATTCTTGGTTAGGGACAATGTTGTTTTTCATGGCTGAGGTCAAGCTGTCCATCGCCGGGATGGGCGCTTCCTGTAAAATTAAATTTTGGGTTGTTCAAATGTCAATTTTTTCTAATAAGGAGTAAAGACAAAAATGCATACTATCATAACACTTACTTTAATAGCTTCCATGTTACTCGATGATTTAATTCTATATTTAATTCAAGATGTCAACAAACTCAAATGGTACTAGAACTCTGGTTTAATGCTGAATAATTAACAGATTTCATCAAGATTCAATCCCAATCATTAATCATCACTTTACACTTACCTATTGTTCTGTATTTCTGTGCTTACTTCTTATACTTAAGTAGTTATGTGGCTATGTTATGAACTCACAGAATCCTTACTCCGTCCCTTCCATCCCTATGGTTGTGTTAATTTATGACTAGACTTATTCACAACTCAGTACTCGCAAACATTGAATTTATTTTAAACTGTTAAACAAATAAACAATAAATAATATTATATTATTATTTATTATGCTCATAATGCTCAATGTTTATTGTTTACAAGTACTGTTGTACGATAAGCTACTATCAACCACGGACTAAGATAATATCAAAGAACAATAGTAATAGCCACGATTAAAGATAGTATGGTTGCGTGACGACGACCAAAAATGCGGCGATAGAAGTGCTTAAGTCTAAACTGACCACTGAACTCAATAATATTATTGAGTTCAGTGAAACTGACTGCCTAGTGCTGCTATCTAGTAGTTATATGTAGAAAATACGAGTTTTTACATATAACCAAGGTGGATTGATCAATCCACCTTGAAAAAATCTAAAAAATACATAAGCACAGTTTATTTTTATAGTCATTTTAAGTTCAAATTTGGACGAAATTACATATTAAGAAACCTAGAATAACTATTTTAGTTATTTTGTTGTGATTGAATAATATTATTCGTGGGTACTTGAAACTTCTAAAGTGTAATATTAAATATCTATGATAGTATCACGATTTTTGTTGATGTATAACGCGTTAAGTACCTAATGGATATTGTGATATGATTAATTTGGAATTTATTATAGGTACCTATTATAAGTCATTTTTGTTTAATACCATAGATGTGTATAAAATATGTCTTATACATAGACTGACATACCGTCTCCGCTCAGAATCGTTTTTCTTATAAAATTATATTATATCATTGAATTCAAATTTAGTACTATCCATTGTACAGTGACCCACTTGTAACCTACTGTACAGCAGAGCACCTTTTTTTTCTTATAAATATCGAAAAAAAATTTAATACAAGGTCTCTTATAAGTTGTTATAATAGCAGTTAAAATACAATAAAGATAAAGAGGCATGGATTTTTTTTTATAATCATTTAAAGTTCAAATGTTGTCAAAATTTTTAATTATTTTGAAATTAAAAATTTAGAAATTTTTCAATTTTTATAGCTAAATAGATTGATAATTTAGAACAAAGTTTCTACAAGTAATTCATAGTGTTACCAAAAAATACATAGACACGGTTTCAATTTCAAATTTCAAGTCAAATATGCATGTTTTGTCATTTTTGTGAAATAGCAATGATTCAGTGGTATATTATGGGCTATGAATTTTATATTATATTTTAATATTATACGTTTTATAGATTAAAATATGTATTGTTAAATAATGTGATTAATAGTATATGTTAAATATAAATTATTTTACTGTGTACAGTGATTAGTGGTGTATAATATTATATCCCTCACCTGAAATTAATTAAAAAAATTGTATATTCCCACAAGAATAAAATTATAGCTACGCCATTGGTACAAGTATAATAATACTGTTTGACCAACTATTTATAATTAAACTTTCGAGATATACCTCCCTATATGGCTATATATATTATAGTTATTTCGATCATTAGTAAGTGTAAAAATGAATATTTATTTTATTTTATCCAATCCATCTAAAACTATTAAAATAGATACCCAAATACATAATTTATGTGTTTGATTGCCGTTTTTTAAGTGTCCTGGTTACGTATATTATTTCATATTTGTTTATTTTCGAATGTTTGACAGAAAAACTTAATCAACATTTAGGTTATTAATTGAAAATATTTTGTTCGTGTATGGCTGTTTATGACACCTGTTACTATTATATTTTACTGGATTAGAACGCCGATTCAATTTGTTTCACTAATTCAGATACAGTGACAACAGTGGACACGATGGCTTCAAGTTCAAAGTATCAAAACATAAGTAAGTTCAGTTTAAAATCTAATGCACGGGTTAAGTATTTATTTTACTTTTACACACACTATTCTATAAGGGTTAGAAAACTTGACTAGGTAGTACTGTAGTAGGTACTTAGGATCAATACCTATCTTCAAATACGTTTGAGGTTTAATGTATTTAATTATTATTTACTTAAGCAAATAATAACTATATATAAGTACCTAATACTACTTTTGTATAATACATATTAATATACTTACTCGTACATTATAATGTAGGTATAGGACAGCGGTCAGCGGTTCCCAACTTTTTTATATCCGCGTACAACTTACACATTTTTACTTATCAACAAATGAAACGACGTTATTTTACATACCTATATTATTAAGCCTTTTTTATAATTTATTTTATTGATTTAAAGTTTAAGCTAATTTAATGACATTAGCATATTTTATCGTAGAAAAAGTAATATCTCGTTAAAATGTACATTTATTTTATTATAATTATAACGAATATGAATGAATAATTGAATAATTTAATATGGCGGCTGTTGATGTTGTATGCCCTGAAGTCCCGCGTTGGTAACTTTAAGTCTGAAGTTGTCTTCTATGTTAATTTCGTTTCTATATTTGTAAAAACTAATTTATATTGAATACCACGCTAATAATAATTTATTGTTTAGCGTCCCCACGGTTTTTGGAGACTTAAATCTAATCTCGCCTCACCTCATTTTAACCAGTTTAACCACTGCCCATATTATAATATATTATTATGTATATTGTAAATATAATCGGTACCCATAATAGTTAGATAGTATAATAATTATAATACCTATTTCGTATTTATTTTTTAGGTGTTCAACCGACCACGGTTCCACGGACTGCTAAAACGGTGTACGAGGTACATAATATTTATTAAACTATTAACTTTATTTTGTTAAAATATGTAATACCAATTTAAATATGTTGTACGGCAGTACATACGTATATAGTGAAATGCCAAATCTATACTAACTTCGGGAAAAAGTTTCACGAACGTCCTTATTCTTAACGTTTGATTGCACTTGAAAATATATTATAAAATCCTGTTTATTATAGTTACCCCGAGAAAACTTGACCAAAGACGAACTCGAGAGAAAATCGACTTCCGACAGAACTAAACGCCGTGTGGCCCACAATGCGTGGTTTCCCCTGCCCGTAATAACTAAACCTTTAGTTGTGGAAAAGCCTGCACGGAAACAAACAAAAAAGCTGGTGTTTAAGAAGGATGGAGTATGTTTATATTATTATAATATCATAAATATAATGTAGGTACCTACCAATGTAAGTCATAAGCATTAGCTGAACTAGGGGGGGTCTGGAGGCTTAGTCAGTGCCGGATTAACGTATAGGCAGGGCTAGATAAAAGTTGCCATCAGAGGGGGCTATTTTTTTTTTTTATAGCGGCACTGTGACTGTGGAAGTTCGTGCCAGTCCGAGGCGAAGAATTACTTAAATCTTAATATGGTTTTTAATTACGTCTTATCATTTTTCGGACAAGTGCAATTCGCCACATTAAAAGTAAAGAACTTGATGACGTTTTTCCAAATCTTCATAATATAGTCCTGAGAATGTTTCTTAGTACAGCTGTGGCAAATTGTACCGGGGAACGGGCATTTTCAGCATTAAAACGAGTAAAAAATTACTTACGGTCTTCTATGTCTGAGGAAAGGTTAAACGCTTTAGCTTCATTAAATATTGAAAATGAATTATTAAATTCTATTGATTTAAATGATTTAATAAATTACTTCTGCTCTAAAAAAGCAAGAAAAAAGCTGTAAAATAAATAAATCTAAACATTTTTATAATTTTGTTTTTTGTTTTTTTTTTACAATGGGCTATAGAAAAAAATGTTTGCCTAGGGCTATGATCGGTCTTAATCCGGCACTGGGCTTAGCCCTCTCAAAATAAAATATTCAATTCTTTCATAAAATATTAACAAATCAAATTAAACTGTTTTTCTTTTTTTTTTTTTTTGGAAAAAAATGTAATTATTTAATTTTTATTTAAACTTTTTTTTTTATATTGCCTATGATAAATATGGTATACCTATTTCATACGCTGTCTGTTTGTGATCGTTTTTAGAAAACAATTTATGTCGGTATGATATAAATTATTTTGTTTTTGGTAAGATTATTACACACAATTTTACAGTGTAGGTACCTATGCACTGAACTATAACATAGACATAGGTAATAACAGAATGAAAATTACCTGAAAAAAATACCTGACCCCAGACTACAATAATATTACTGATAACCACTTGTCCACATACCATTTTTAAAACCTAATTGGTGTATAATTATTACATTATTAATATTTAATTACAAATATATTATTATGCTATACTTTTCATTAAAACAATTAATATATAATAAATCATATTCAAAAATTAACAATAATATTGTTTTGTTTATATCACGATGTGAAACAACATATTATGTTAATAGTTATTTTAAAAGATTTCTGATTAGGTACTTAAATGCATTAACTATTAATTGTTTAGTAATAATTCATTTTATTAGTTAATGTATCGATCATTCAAAATATTTTTATTTTATAATGTTTTAAATATTGTACCTACCTATATTAAGTAAAACTTGTAATATCTACTTCTAATAACAATAATTATCATTATTTACATATCTTTAAAATATTATTAGAAAACGTAGGTAATATTTTATTTAAGGATATATTATAATATATAATATAAAGTATTTTGAAAATTATAATATGCATTTAAAAAATAAGGTATAATTAAATACTTGAGTAAATAAATAATTGATTTTTATACATTTTTAAGTGAACATATATTGGGGTGTGGGGGCATCGCCCCCAAGGGTTACTTTTCATGTAATGTCAAGTGGGGGCTTCAGCCCCCCCCTAAAAAATTCTGCCCAAGTTGCGTC